TAATTTCTGAGGAATTACTTATAGCATCGTTCTTCCAAGCTGGCGCTGTCCAACCGTTCCCATTAACTTTACCTAGCAAGGCCATCAAGTCTAGCACACCTGTGTTTGTTCTGCATCCAAGAACTTTGGAAAACTCAAAATAAATATTTAACTGACGTGCTTGTTGGGATTAAGGCAAGTATTATCCAAGCGTGTTATTTGGAATTTTTCTTCTGGAATGATCTTGGTTTACTGAGTGCTGAGAATTCTCCCCGAGTTCTTACTTTTCTGTCATTGGCTGATGATGGCACAGTTCTGCAGCTTTTGAGTCTGGATCCTTTGGTTTTCTTTCTCCATTGGCGACTTCATGTTTGAGCTCCAGAGCTGATCTGTTGAGAAAATGATTGTCTTCCATAAAGATCCTGTTTCTCATTTTCCCATCTGGCATTCAAAATTCCTGTAAAAAAAATTGCTTGAAACTGCCTTAAATATGGCATTTAATGAACCTTTGTTTTCAAAAGGGCTACAGCACAAAACGTGTTGCATATATCGCTAATCGGTAGCAATTCATTTCTCTCAGCTTCAGAAGCTGATTGGGGGTCTTTAAGAGCATTCTCCCTCCACTCAACCTATCTTCCAGAATTATGGGGTTGAAGGATCAAAAGGGACTAGGATACTATTCTGTAGACATCAGCTTGAATGCTAAGATAGAAATCAAACAAAAGCGTTGTTTTGAAAAGGGCTTACTTGTCAAAAAATGTGTGACTCTGCAATTCATTCTTCTCACTGTGGTTAGAAAACAAGTGACATTAGAAAACATTTCTTCATCCTTTGTACTTACTTCCTAAACCCCCAACTGACCAATAACTAGCTTCTCCATTGTTGGTTGGGGGCATTCACAGGGAAGGGGGGGTCAAAAGAGTTAAGATATTTGCCTGTCACTGCGCAACGGAAGTCCCACTCATTTTTATGTGCCTGGCATGCAAACACCCCTGTTGCCAGCCTTGAAACTCAAAAAACACCAATTGGAGCCATTGCACATTCTTCAGTGAGCAGTAGAAGACTGCAAAAAATGAAATCCCACCAGGGCCCTGTCTTCCACCCTGCCATATACAGTCTGTTTCAAGGGGCATTCAAAACATCTCAGTATTCATAACTGAGGGCTTCAAAAGCAGCCCAGGTTATTCTTTTTCTGCATAATTTATCAAAAGAGAAATGATAGAAATAGTTTACTTGGGCAATTTAGAATTATAGGGTTGGAAGGGACTTTGTAGGTCTTCTAGTCCAGAGGTCCCCAACCTTTTGGGCACCAGGGACCAGTTCCGTGGAGAAAGGTTTTTCCACAGACCGGAGAGTGCATGGTTTTGTGTGTGCCTGCATCCCACGGATGGGGCTTTGCTTGTTTGTGCGGACCAGTTCTTGGCATGCCGTGGCCCGGTATTGGTCCACAGACCGGGGGTTGGAGACTCCTGTTCTAGTCCAACTCCATGCCCAAGGCAGGAGATCTTATACCATCCTAGTTAAATGGTTGTCCAGTCTATTCATGAAAACCTCCAGCGATGTTGGACCCACAACTCTGGGAGGCAAGCTGTTCCATTGATTAATTGATTAATTGATCAGGAATGTCCTTAGTTCCAGGTCTCTCTTTAATGCTTCCACCCATTGCTTCTTGTCCTGCAGGTACTTTAGTGAGAGTAGTTTGGACTCGTGTGGACTTTACCTTTTTTTTGGAGAAGTAGGGATTCTGGGGACAGGATCATGTCCAGAACTCATTTCATACTTCTCATCTGAGTTGTTACTGGAAAAGGAAAACACACTATGGTTGAATAAAAGCATGGGGGAGGTAGCTAAAAGAATCATACTGAGAAATTGAAGATGTGATATTATGGAATGAGAGACAGGTTAGTCTAATGGTTAAGACACCAAGCTAGAAACTAGGAGCCTGGGAGTTCTAGTCCTGCCTTAGCCATGAAAGCTGGCTGGGTGACTTTGAGTCACTCACCAGGAGTTGGTGGGTTCTAGTCCTGTCTTAGCCATGAAAGCTGGCTGGGTGACTTTAGGCCAGTTCCTCTCTTTCAGCCCACATGTTAGTTTTGGGCGAGAAGTCAGTCAGTCAATTCCTGTTGCAACCAATGGGTCACTACTCGGTAGATCCCCCAAAAGCAGACTCTGCACTTGAACATGCCCCCAGTTTAACCAAAAGAAAGTTTAAAAACATCTTGCTCCTTAAAACACACAAGCAGCTTGAAAATCCCCAAATAAGCCAACAAATCTAAGATACCTTATCTGGGGTTTGTCGTGGACATTACCTGCTCTCCACAGATGTAGAGTAATTGAATGAAGTTTCAAGGTAGGGTTTTGAGGCCACATTTCTTCTGCTGCTTGTATCAACACTATAAAAACAAAGAGAAAAAAAGACATTCTTTAATGTGGAGTCCAAGATGTTTGTAGGTGAAAGTTGCTATGATATGTAAGTATTACATCTATTTTTTTGATCACCATATTGGGTGCCAATAGGCTTCAAAGGTCAATTCAGAGTTCTGATCTGTATATATATCTTCCATTGAACCTATTTTTCTCTGCGCTGGACATTTTGGTTCAGCCATGTTGGACATTTGCTAAATGAAAATCTGGGAATCTTCCACAGATATTGCTTAAATTTCATAGAGAGTTTCTTGTCTCTATGGAGACCTTATGATGGGTTGTTTCCTTAATATAATATGACTGAACACAGGAGATGGGCCTTTTTGTAATTTACAGTGGCTATAACCTGATCATGATAGCAACTTGCAATTGAAGTTTACACCTGCAAGCTTACCGGCTACTACAACACATTATTTTACTTGCTGGATGGTAATGTACTATTTTAAAGAATTTGACACACTTAAGTTGCTAATAGCAGTGTCATTATGCCATCACACTGTCTGACTACCTGTCGATAAATATCTTTCCAAAATTCTTTTCTCATTTAAAAGAAATTTCAAAGCAAATTAATGTTTTGCAGCCAGGTTGATTGCCATATTATTGGATGGGGGGGAAATATAGATTATACTAACCTGGTTCTTACAGAAGCACTCTGAGGAGTCTCCAAAGTTCTTCTTTCACCATTAGTGCTGTTGACAAACCCAAAACAGTCCAGTTAATTTGCATATTGTGATTCCTCTATAAACAATGGCATAACTAATCCGACTCAGAAAGATTAATCTTAGTCAAGCAAAGCAGAAGTTTAAATCTATTGCATGCCCTAGTGCAAGTTGGTTGGATGTATATTGTTTTAGGGAATGGGGTGATAAAATAGGGTTATCGAAAACAAGTTGGAAAAGGAGATCTAGCCTTTTATTTTTTTCTAGGGTGGCTTTGTTAGTTCCGAAGAATAAAACTTTATATTAGTGCCTGCTATACACTCTGAAATGAGGTGGCTGGATGGAGTCACTGAAGCAGTAGGAGTGAGCTTAAATGGACTCCAGAAGATGGTAGAGGACAGGAAGGCCTGGAGGAACATTGTCCATGGGGTCGCGATGGGTCAGACACGACTTCGCAACTAACAACAACAACAACATAAACTCTTCTAATGCTCTGTCTTTAATTATCTGCATGGTTTTCAAAAGGAACTCAACCATTTCAGCTAGACATGGTCTTCTCCATACTAAAAGAGGAAAATAAGGATGATGACGGTAAATAATAATACCAATGAGAAGAAGAATAGTAATCGGTTATTTACCTCTTCCCACGACTGTTAAACCATGCTGAGGCAGGTACAGTATGACTCCTGGATCGTGGACCAAAGTCATCTGGTACGTCAATCCTTTCAAGAAAAGAAAACGCCCTTCAAATAAAATATAGAGTTCCTCTCCCCTCTCAGTTGTTATAATAGAAGACATTTCTGTTCACATTGGTAAGCAACGTAATCTTACTTACTTCTTAGCCACAAAGGACGGTACCTCTTGTGTTGGACTTCTGCAAACAGGCAAGATTGTGGTTTACATATAAAAAAAATGAAAAATCTTTTCTGTTCAGAAGATCAGGGTATGCCTTTACGAGTGCATCCATGGTCTTGCAAATTAAAGTTATTTAATAGAATAGAATCACTTTACAAATGCATGCATGTTGCTATAAAAACGGCAGCTTTTCTAAGTTTCATTGTTTTGTGAATTAATGCTACTGGTACTGATTTTCTGAGTTTTGTCTTTGTATTTTCTTGGATTGTGACAATGAAAGAAATGGCCTCTTCCATATTTCCCATGATCTCCAGTCAACATGGCGTTCCTTTTCAGACTTACCCTCCAGTTTTCTTTGCAGCTGAAAGGACATAGGAGCGCTCCCGGCCGGCCGTACGCCTGAGCACGCTGCTAGCAGCTTCTGCCCTACAAAACAAGGGGTGGAAAAGGAGATGACACTCTGGTTCACAAAAACCCCAGGTTCTATTCTGGCCCCATCCCTCAGGAAATGCCGATCTTGGCAAGAGGTTCTTCCTCTTTTCCATGGGTGGAGAAAAGAATAAAGGATCAGGAATTAAATTTGTGTTGGTGAATGATAAACTCAGACAACACGTTTGTTGAATAAGTACTACTGAATTGTATGAAAAAACGAATAAAAACTTTATTTAAAAAAAAAGACATCAAAAATGGAATCTCCAGATGGAGCGGAAAACTCCTTGCATGTTGACAGAACTAAATTAGCTGGACCAAGGATGTGGTTCCTTAGGAAGCAGCTTCCTCTGTTCCCAGCTGTGGAACTTCTGAATGCATTTATTGCTAGATTAAAAAGAGAAGGCTCTAGACCAGTGGTTCTCAACCTTTTTAATGCCGCGACCCCCAACCGGTCGTAAGTCGAGGACTAAACCAGTTGTAAGTCGAGGACTAAACCGGTCGTAAGTCGAGGACTACCCAACCGGTCGTAAGTCGAGGACTTTCCCTGCCCGGGAGCGCCACGCATGCGTGGTTCCGCCCCCTGCGCCGGCCGAGGCGTAGCTGGCAAGCGGCAGAGACGGAGCAGGCCGACCACCAGCTGGCCCAGCCCAAGGGAGGTAAGGCACCCGCTGGAAAAGGGGGAAAAAATGGCGGACAGCCTTGCTTGGCGACCCCCGTGAAATGGTCGATCGACCCCAAATGGGGTCGCGACCCATAGGTTGAGAACCGCTGCTCTAGACTTCACTCAGAAGCACTGCTGACTTTGATATAGACACTGATGATGTTAACTAGCTTGGCAATGAAACATCTGCAAGAAAACCACCAAGCTAATCCAAGGATCCCACAGTTCTCCTAGCCCTCCTCGTCCTTGTCCTCCCCCTTACAACTCCCCAGCCTTCTAGCACTGATGATGGTTCCTAGCTGGGTAAGGAAATGTCTGCAAAGAAACAACCAAGCTCAGAGAACCCCAAGGACCTCACAGTCCTTCTTCTCATCCTCTTTCCCTCCTCCCTTTTCTTTTTTTCTCCTCCTTCTTTATCCTCCTTCCTCTCTACAAACCCCGTTCCCTTCTAACACTGATGATGTTACCTACTTGGGTAAAGAAATGTCTGCAAGAAAACCACCAAGCTTGGAGAACACCGGGGACTCCATAATCCCAGACTTTATCAAGGTACCTCTTTTTCTGCTCCTCTGGAGAAACAAAGCGTTGTCCATCTCCGGGGTGTGAGAGTTCACGCTTAATATTATAGGGAGCTCTAAAGCACAAGATAAAAAAGAAAGTGGGTGGTGAGATTTTTCCGCCCCCCAGTTAATTACCCGCAAAGAAACACTAATCCTCAGGTTGAAGGATGACTCCTATCGGTGCTTCCAGGTGGCACAGCAGCTGCTCCTACATCTTTACTTGAAGATACTCACAGTTTTTTGTAATCCTCAGTGGACATCTTGGGCCCTTGGCTGGAGGGGGAGGTCTGGCTTGGGCTCTTGATACTGAAAAGAAGGGAGAGGTACACCAAGAGATTCAACAATCTGCTGCTGGTTGAGAAGAGAATCATATACCCCAAAACTAATGGGGTGTTTTAATGTCATTGTTGTAAATAAGTATTTTTTTCATTTTAAAAGCAGATTTCTGGATTTTCCTTTGAGGTAAGAAAACACATAGATAACAAGTTATGGTACTTTCCCATTGGAAAAGATTCCAAAATTCACATGCTTCCAAACTTATAAGGATTTCTAAAGTCTTTGAAAATGTGGCTTTGTTCCCAGGGCAGTTTTCTTTCAGAATATCACGAGAAATTTTGTCTGGGTACATACAGTATATCTTTTATTTTTCAATTGTTTTTAATCACTGTCTCTCACGCCCACTTTTTCCTTTTAAGTATGTGCACTGCCCAGAGTCATTTGGGAAGCAGGCAGCTCCCCAAATCTAATGGAATAAATAAATAACAAAATAAGATTCTCAACCGCGGCACCCTAATGAAACAGATTTTAATTTTCAGTAACAAAGAAAACAAATTAAATGCATCCTGTGTATTTATTTATGAGGATTTAAAGGAAACGCCGTTCTAACCGGCTCTGGATGTTCTACCTGATAAAAAGCCAAAGCGATAAAATAAGGAACCAAAAATGAGGAGTCCATTATCCAAACGTACACAAAACACAACACAATCTTACAAGGCAACATCTTAGAGGGATCCTGTCCCACTTCAAGGCCTGTGGAGCAGATCCAGATGTTCAGCATGTTGTAGGACATCATTGGTAGAGGGGAGTTATACAGATCTCCAACCCTGGTGATTGCTGGAAAAATACTATTCTAGACAGCAGATGTCACAACCTACTTTTGAGGTCTCAACACATGGCACTGTTTAACTGAATTTTAATTAATTAAAGGCACAGCTGGACTAAAGGGCCAGAATAGGAATGACAAGCCACAAGATATCGCATGCAGGAAAATGCATGCAGTTCTTTGTGGGTTGAAGGCACGGCTCTAGCAAGAGAGAATTGGAGCTCTCTGTTACATCCGGTCATGGGTATCGTAGAAATCCAGCAAAAAGTGTTGCAGGTGACTGACTTACAACTTCCTCTTAGTACCAGGCTAACAAAGTTGACTCTTAGACCAACCTTTTCTGTGTCCCGTTGGATGCTGGCTTGGAAGGAGATGACTTATCAATGGTCTTGGTGAAAACTCCCCTAGAAGAAAAAGAGACACCTAGAAAATTCCTGGGGCAAATTTCATCAGGTGAATAGACTGGGACCTTTGCAACCTGAAACTGTGCTGGTTAGTGCCTTTTTACAGAACACTCCATTGCATTCCCTCGTCCTACTTAGGTTTGTATGGGTAGTTCTGACATTCTGCTGGGATTCTAAAACAATTCAGTTGACTGCTTTTGTATCAACTCCGCCCTCTGTTCTGTGTTATTGAAGCCACAAAACGATCAGCACTCACAGCAGGAATTCCAGATACTGAAAGAAATGAACCATTCCCTCTTTCCTATTTCAGTTTAGAACATAGAACCTAGAATAGGCTTGGAAGGTGCCTTGGAGGTCTTCTAGTCCAACCCCCTGCTCAAGCAGGAGACCCTGAACAAATGGCTGTCCAATCTCTTCTTGAAAACCTTCAGTGATGGAGCATCCACAACTTCCAGAGGTAAGCTTGCCTTCAGAGGTTGTGGGTGCCCCATCGCCGGAGGCCTTTAAGAAGAGATTGGACAGCTAGGGTCTCCTGCTTGAGCAGGGGGTTGGGTTAGAAGACCTCCAAGGTCCCTTCCAGCTCTGTTATTCTGTGTTCTAAACCAGAGGTCTCCAACCTTTTGGGCACCAGGGACCAGTTATGTGGAGAGAGATTTTTCCGCGGACCAGACAGTGCATGGTTTTGTGTGCTGTCTGCATCCCATGGATGGGGCTTTTCTTGTTTGTGCGACCTGGTTGCTGGCATGCCGCAGCCCTGTACTGGTCCACACACCGGGGGTTGGGGACCCCTGTTCTAAACCATTCCACTGATTAATTGTTCTCACTCTCAGGAAATTTCTCCTTAGTTCTTGGCTGGATCTCTCTTTAATGATCTTCCACCCATTGCTTCAAGTCCTGCCCTCAGGTGGAGATTATGTTGACCCCCTCTTCTCTGTGTCAGTCGCTCAAACACTGCAAGACTGCTATCATATCACCCCTAGTCCTTCTCCTTGTTAGACTAGACGCATCTAGTTCTCTCAATTGTTCATTGCATGGTGTACCTTCCAGACCTCTAATCATCCTTGTTGCTCTTCTCTGCACTCTTTCTAGGGTCTAACATCGTTTTTGTATCTTGGTGAGACCAGAACCGGATGCAGCATTCCAAGTGTGGTTTCAACAGAGTACAGTATAAAGCGGTACTATAACTTCATGCGAACTTGAAACTGTGGATGCAATTATTTCCCCTCTGCGATTTCTTTTGACTCACCTGATGAGATACCCAGATGAGGTGGCAGTAGAAGAACTAGATGGAAGAGAAAGACAAAACCTTTGAGCTGTTTAATCAGAGAGGAGCACCCCATGACTTTCTTGACGACTGAAAGGAACCCACGTTTTCCCCGGTTACACAAGCGTCCTTGGTGCTCTGAGCATTTTATCTTGCGCTTAAAACTCAAGGGATCAATCTTTGCGGAAGTGTCTTTTTAAAAAATAATAATAATGGGTATAATATCACCATTAACATATAATGAAATAGCAACCTACTCACTTTGGGGAAAGATTTTTGTGTGCTGAAGGAGACTGTGGTTCTCTGTGGGAAGATGGAGCTGTAGAAGGTGTCCTGAAGAAGACAGAGATTGTCAAAATAAGGACATTAGTGTTCTAGTGCAGGGCTTTTCAACCAGTGGTACGGGTACCACCTGTGGTACATTGGCACTTGGCAGGTGGTACGCGAGCATCCTAGAAAAGTGGTAATGGGGGAGGGGAATGAGCTGAACCGGTGGCAGCACCGCACAAGCCTGAGTGAGAGATGGCTGGAGCTGCAGGGCTGTCAGGGCTCAGCGGAAGCACCAGGATCAGTGCTGCTTTCCAGCTGATCGGCGCTTCTTCGGGGCTGTCAGGGCTCAGTGGAAGCGCCAGGATCAGCACCAGACTCCAGCTGGAGCTCGGCGCTGATCCTGGCACTTCTGCTGAGCCCAGAAGAAGCGCCGATCAGCTGGAATTTTGCAGCCTCTCCAGGGTCTTGTGTTTTACATTCAGATCCTTGGCAACCGATTCATATTTATGACGATCACAGTGTCCCAGGGTCATGTGAAGTGACCCAAACCTGCTGCAACCACCCAGCAGATGAGGGGAATAAAAACCAAACACCCCCTCACCCCACCCCTGCTGCCAATCCTCAACAGAAATGCTCACAACAATGAAAACCTTGGACAGGAGGAAGAGCGCCGCTGGGCAGGCAGGCAGGTGTCTTGCTCGGCTGTGGCTTGAGGGGCACTTTTTTCAGTGCCATTGTAACTTCGAACAGTCACTAAGCGAACTGTTGTAAGTCGAGGACTATCTGTACTTTATCACTTTTTTCTTTTGGGGGGGGGTCATCAAGTTTTTGACACCTTGCTAGGCGACTGGTGGTACTCGGATATTGTCCTATCCTAAAAGTGGCACAATGGGTGAAAAGGTTGAAAAGCCCTGTTCTAGTGGGACGAAGGCAGGACAAAGCACCTCAAATTAGCAATGGATCTGGCACTGAGCTCTGAAAGAGATGATTTGTGCACGAAGGCCTCAGCCATGCTGAGGGAAAAGGGAGAGGTTTCCAAGCTGAGCCATGCTGGCTCAGGAATTCTGGGAGTTGAAGTCCACAAGTCATAAAAGAGCCAAGGTGGCCTACCCGTGACCTAGGTAAAAAGAAGCCCCTTTTTTTTTTCAAGGGAAGAAAACGTTCAAGAAACTGGAGCAAATTTTAGGGCAGAGTTGCTTCATACTCACAAAGGACTGTGGTTCTGCTTCTCCTCAGAATCAGACCTGTGATGGATCCAACTCTTGTCCCCTTTCAGAGTTGTCCTTACTTTCATTTGGGTAATAATCCGTTTCCGGTCTTCCTCACTCGGTAGGATGGTGCCATCTTTAAAAAAAAATGGATCAAGAAGAAGTTGGAACCCCCCCCAAAAAACAGAGAATCCAATGAGTATTAGATGAACTTAGAGAGCCTGGACTACAGACTTGTCTTTGGGACCTTCTCATTCTACACCGTCTGGTTTTGACCAGATTATTCAAGAGGAAAAGGGGCTTTAAAGATCTCAAGGTTGTTTTTGGAAAAAGAGAAATTTCACTGGCATAAATACTACTACTACTACTACTACTACTACTACTACTACTACTACTAATAATAATAATAATAATAATAATAATAATAATAATGATGATGATGATGATAAAGTTGGAAGGGACCTTGGAGGTCATCTAGTCCAACCCCCTGCTTAGGCAGGGTTTCCATCAGCAACGTTTAGGCTATCTCAGAAGGTCTCAACAAATAAACACAGTTTGAATGCATTATAATTGTTAACTGAGAAAATTTGTCTCAGGCATAATTTGTATCTGCACAATTATTTAAATCCAGCATAATTGAAACCCTTAATTGTTCTGTCTATCTGATGCCATCAGCTGTAGCTCATAAAAGCTTACGACTTTTAATAAAACGTGTTAGTCTTAAAAAGAGCTATCAGACTCCTCCTGACTCATCTCTTATTTGTTTTGTCTGATTTCTGGACTTTTCACAGTAATAAAGTTGTGTTGTCATTTGTAGCATAACTCCAAGGCATCTCAGGTTTAAAGGAAGCCCATTATACAATTAGGAATGAAGCATCCCATCATATACCTTTCATGGCGCCAAGAGACAGCATGATTCACACGGGCTCTCTCGCACCGCGTAGTTTCCAGAGTTTGGCACAAAGATGTAACTAGGAGGGAAGAAATGAAAAACCAGATTATTCCTGTAAAACGAAGCAGAAGGCAAGCAGATGGTCCTCAGTCTTCTCTTGATGCTCCAAAAAAGCCATACTCACAACACACACCTGTTATGGAAACTAGGATCTCTTGTAGATTAGGAGGGGGGGAATCAAGACAGTCCCTCAGTGTTGTGCTTGAAGCATTTTTACATACAACAGACATCAAAAATGGGTAGGGGTTTGATCGTTCCACTGTGGCAGCTATCCTGATTTTTTTTTTAAACAATACCCTGCAGATATGTCTCTATGGGATTAATATCACATAGTTAATGTTACTTAATTTTTAATATAATTTTGTTGAAAGTTTTAAAACCAAAGATAAAACACTAATACAAATTGATATAGAATAAGAAAGAAAAAAAGAAAAAGGAATGGAGAGAGAGAGAGAGAGAGAGAGAGAGAGAGAGAGAGAGAGAGAGAGAGAGAGAGAGAGAGAGAGAGAGAGCTAAAAATGCAAGAAAGAAAAAATAAAAGTAGAAAGGAAAGAAAAAAAGATACAAAGAACTGGCTTCTGTTTTTCCTTACAGCCCTTATCTCAACTTTTCTCAAGTTTTCTCTAAAATTAGATCTCTTTTCTTTCTATAATCTATCCTATCTAAATAATCAAAACCATAAGTCATGCTTATTTTTTTTTCTATTTTTACTTATAAAAACTCCATAAGGAGCTAGATTTGATCTTACTTAGAGTGAGAGAACATGGAGCTACTCAGAACTCACCTATGAACTTCAGAGCTAAATGGAGTTGGGCTTGGAATCCAACTCTTTGCAATCTTTGGCCCGCCATTCATAGTCAGGATGAGCAACATTTTCTTAATAGAAGGCCAAACATTTTGGGGACAAATGTTGGGAAGGGGGGAACAAGATTAGCACTGGAGCAGAGCGATTGCACAACGCTCTTTTAGGAAGGAGCTAAGATTTCCAAGAGGGATTGGTGTTTTTGGGATGTGGATTTAAACTTTCGGTTCTCGTGGGTGTTTTGAAGTGTACTAAGTCCATAACAAACTTTGTTGTCTTCTCTACCCTCCATCCCCACCTAGGATCAATCTACTGAACCTCTGCATTTCTTATTTGTGTGCATTCTTGCGTATTTGCCACCACAGATGGATCTGTAGAGGTGGGGTGCTCCTGAATTCCATAAGTGTGATTTCAGGAGCTGTAGGGTCCAAAAGAAGAGTGGTCCATGCACCATTTTTCAGTGCTGTGAGGGCTAATCTTGCAGGCTTACCCTCCAGTCTCACTTACTAGGAGCCCTGGCAGCTCATAAATGCAGTATTTATGCAGTATTGCAGGCTAGCTCTGTCCACACCCTGGAGTTCGATTCTGACCAGCTCAAGGATTACTCAGTTTTCCATCCTTCCAAAGTCAGTAAAATGAGGACTCAGATTGTTGGGGTCCATATGCTGATCTTGTCAACTGCTCAGAGAGGGCTGTAAAGCACTATGGCAGGGGTCTTCAAACTTGGCCCTTTGATGACTTGTGGACTTCAACTCCCAGAATTCCTCAGCCAGGCACACTGGTCGAGGAATTCTGGGAGTTGAAGTCCACAAGTCATAAAAGGGCCACGTTTGAAGACCCCTGCACTATGGGGTGGTATATGCAGCAAGTAAGTGCTATTGCTATGCTACTAGTAAAATATGGTAGGAGGAAGCTGTCACTAAAGAGCAGGGTTGAGATTGGCAGTATGATTCATGCTCGGAAAAACTGAGCATTGGCAAGAACGGCTTGTTGTTGCCCAAAGCCATCACTGAAGCAAACTGCCAGCATGCCTGGCTTTGCATAAATCTGCCAAGCCAGAAATTCAAGTGCAGCCTGAATGTTTGAGATGAGCTTTTCCACGTTCAAATGAGAGATGGGTGGAGATGGTTTAGAGCCGCGGAGGAAAAACTTGACTCTTCAGTCTCCCATCAAGAGACTAGATCTGCAGTTGGATAAAGGGGAGGTCTTGTGGATGCATCATGTTGTGGAGAACAGCCCAGAATAGTGTGAGAAAGGGAAGGGAAGGGAAGGAAAGGGAAGGAAAGGAGGAGGGGAGAGGAGAGGAGAGGAGAGGAGAGGGAAGGGGCAGAGGAGGGAAGGAAGGAAGGAGTTGGGGAAAGGAAGGAAGGAAGGAAGGAAGGAAGGAAGGAAGGAAGGAAGGAAGGAACCTGGAACTGGAGAATCCTGTGAAGTGTTTTTGAAGAATAAAATAGTAAACATGGACAAGCTCTCACTAATGTTGGTTGGACAACAGGAAAAAAGGAATGGAAATGATCGTGCTGGAAAGCGACATGTCTACTTAATTTCTCCTACACGGAACGATCAGTTCTGTTTTGCTACAAAGCTACCACATCCCTACAGAGGAAGGAAGGACAACCGGTTCCCATCTTGCATTGATTACTGTAGCATCCAAGCTACTGTACGATGGTCTCAGCAGAGAAATAAAGAAAGGAGCTGGGTTAAATTCAAATGACATCGTATGGGAAAGGAGAGGGGAGTAAAGGCATCCCTGTCTGCAGACTTCTGGGAAAGAAAGCATGAGGACTAATGAGCGGAGAACCATCCCCAAGAGTAAAAGGCAGCTGCTGTAGGCCGGTCCACACTGGACCACAGATGGGAAGTACAAGTTGCAGAGGAACAACAAGTCAAATCTCACAGTGGCTGTAATCCATACAGAGCATCACCCAAATCTCCCTGCAGTCCGGAGTGGACTGTCTGAAGTTGGCTTAAGAAACAGCTGGAAGCCCCATGGAAGACAAGCAGCCTTGGCCACAGGGCAAAGTTAGTCTTAGGGGCATCACAAACACCACCCTTCGTGGAGAACCCTTTGAAGGGCGTGCCAGACAAGCTCCATTTTTGCCATTGCGTACTTCAGTGTTGTGGGAACACACACATTTCGGAGAACTGGGTGGGGACAGAAACCATGCAGGACGGTTTGTCAACACCGCTTTTTGGTAACTAGGCTGTCACATAAAGTCAAGGAGATGCCGTTGTGGTAAGGAAGCAAGCTGACACAAAGAGTTGGAACGGATCTTGGAGGTCTTTGAGTCCAACGCCCTGTTCAAGCAGGAGAGTGGAAGCCCTCAGCCACTTCATAAAAAATGTAATTCTTTTAAATTGAAGGAGGTTGCTATCAACGACTCCAGAAATGGAATAGGATAGGATTCATATTAACCTGTATTTTAACATGCATTAGGACAGGGGCCTTTTGGGCACCAGGGATTGGTTCTGCTGAGTGAGGTTTTTCCCGTGGACCGGAGGGGGACATGATTTCGTATCCCGCTGCCTGCATCCCACGAATGGGGCTTCATTTGTTTGTGTGGCCCGGTTCTAGGCATGCTGCGGTCTGGTCCATAGACCGGGGATTGGGGAGCCCTGCATTAGTGTACCTAAATCCTCCACTTTCAAATCCAGAGTTCTCTTCGCCAAGTTGGCATGAAACCATCAAGAGTACAGAGAAGAGCAACAAAGATGATCAGGGGACTGGAGGCTAAGACATATGAAGAATGGTTGCTGGAATTGGGTATGTCTAGTTTAACGAAGAGAAGGACGAGGGGGGACATGATAGCAGTCTTCCAGTATCTCAGGGGCTGCCCCAAAGAAGATGGAGTCAAGCTCTTCTCCAAAGCACCTGAAGGCAGGACGAAAAGCAAGGGATGGAAACTGATCAAGGAGAGAAGCAACCTAGAACTAAGGAGAAACTTCCTGACAGTTAGAACAATTAACCAGTGGAACAACCTGCCTCCAGAAGCGGTGAATGCTCCAACACTGGATGTTTTTAAGAAGAGACTGGACAGCCATTTGTCCGAAACGGTGTAGGGTTTCCTGCCTGAGTAGGGGGTTGGACTCGATGACCTCCAAGATCCCTTCCAACTTTTTTATTATTATTATTATTATTATTATTATTATTATTATTATTATTATTATTATTATTATTATTATTATTATTATTATTATTATTATTATTATTATTATTATCTCATTTACAGCCCATATCTCTGGTAGTGAAATACTTCAAATCCTGTCGGAAATCTAATTAAAACTGGTTCTGCCCACTCATTTCTTCTCTTGGCTTCCACTCCTGTTTTTGAGCTGAGAAATGTCAACAAAGGACATTTTTTTCCCTTCTCCCAAGCTGCTGAATCAGGAGCAGAAAGTTCCTACCCTCTCCAATCAGGGCTTGGGGACTTGTTGACTGCAGGCAATTCACCTGTTTATCTTCAACTCCCACTCAGAACTGGAACTGAGTAAATCTAACAACTACTAATATCCAGAAACCAGCATAGCAAGAAAAGTTTTTTGTTTTTTTTCCTGGAGAAAGGCTTAGATTTTATTCGTGCTAAGGTAGCATTTGGTTGATGCTCGGAGAGGAACGTATCCCAACAAATGAAGGCTAAATTGGGAGGGTAAAAAACAACCCCCTGCAGCAAGACAATCGGTGTTGAGGGTTTTTTTTTTTGTTTTTTTTTTTAAATCCTACGTGAATTTTTTCTTGTGGTCATCAGGTCTTGAACTCAAGAGGACCTGGGGATAGGTTTGGATGGAAGTGCCAATGAGAGCTTTTGAAGCATGTGCTTGGGTCAACAGGCAGCGAAATATTGAATTTCTTATGAGAGACGAGCAACTAAGACAGCGGTTCTCAACCTATGGGTCGCGACCCCATTTGTGGTCAATCGACCATTTCACGGGGTCGCCAAGCAAGGCTGTCCGCCATTTTTTTCCCCTTTTCCGGCGGGTGCCTTACCTCCCTTGGGCTGAGCCAGCTGGTGGTCGGCCTGCTCCGTCTCTGCCGCTTGCCAGCTATGCCTCGGCCGGCGCAGGGGGCGGAACCATTTAATTTAATTTAATTTAATAATTTAATTTATATACCGCCCTTCTCCCGTAGGACTCAGGGCGGTGCACAGCATATTAAAACAGATACAAACAAAATACATCAAAAAACAAAAAACCCCATAAAACCAAATTAAAAGCCAAAT